CCCGGGACGCGCGCGGGCTTTCTTCTCCCGCCCGCCGGCCGCTGGCTGGAAGGGCAGCCTCAGGGAGGAGGATGACTGAGTCCTGAAACCTCGCCCCACTGGGCTCAGCACCTGGCCTCTCCTCTCAGCTAAGTTTCTCTCTGAATCTGGTGGGGGATGCTTCTCTCTGGGCTTCACAGGCAGCTGGGACGGGAGCTGGGACCGTGGCGCTTCCCCGCCCACCGTGGGAAGGAGGGGTGGGGAGCTGTGGCTCTTCCCAGGGGAGAGAGGAAAAACTCACTCTTCTTCCCTTGAAAGAGCAGCCAAGTCCACCTGGCTCAGGAGCTTTGCTTCGTATCAGGACTGTTCCGAGAAAGATGATGGTCAGCCATGGGACTAGCATCAGCCACTAAGCCATGTGTACCCTCCAGTCTCAGGCTGGACTCATCCACCATTCATGCCTCCATTCACCCACACTCTTGCCCATCCTCTCGGACATTCTTCTATCCACCCATTCATCCATCTACCCATCTTTCCTGACACCCCTCCAGGGCCCACACGTCCATCCATGCTGCTGTCCCTCCATTTATCCAGCTGCTCCCCTATATAACTTCTCAGTCATCTTTCCATACGTTTCCCCCCACATTTCTTCATAAACCCGCATCCATCTATACACGATCTATCCTCTTTTCCATCCGTCCACCTACATACCTGTTCATCAGTGCATCCATGCATCATCCATCCATCATCCACATATCCACTCCTCATTTTATCCATCCTCTCTCATCCACCCACACTTTCTCGTTCCAATTTATAGTCCTATCTGTGCAAACGTGAATCCACTTTCCCCCATCCATCCTACCCAGTAATTCTCAACAAGGAAGGAGATTGTCATATTCTTCAGGGAGGCATTTTGAGTTTGAGAAATCATGTTTGCATTATCATTTCATATCTACCTCTAATATAGTGTAATTTAATATCTGAAAAATCAAAAGTGGTATTTATTGTTCGTGTGGACTACTAAACGTAAATCTGAATGGACATCTTGCCTGGTGGGTGAGATACCCAGAAAATGATAGTGGTTATCAGTGACGGTGGCCAGACCCTGAAGGAGCCATGTCACAATTTCTGAGGGAATGTAATTCCCTTCTGATTCTGTTATTTGTTGAAAGAATTTGAAAAATGGAGAGAAAGTGCATTCAGCCATCTGTAGTTGATCAAATATGTAATGAGTGCTCAAAGGCATCAGGAGAAATAAGACCTGCCCTATGTTCAGGGACCTCACACATTGGTAGGGAATCAGACTCATGAGCAGGCTGTTACCACACAATATGTGTGTGCAGAGTGCTGTTGATCCTAGAAAAAAGAGTTGCACCCATTCCTGGGGAATATCAAGGGGGGCTTCACAGTGGAGGTGATATTTGAAGAAGGAGAAGGAAGTCTTCAGAAGAAACCACAGGGGCAGAGCATCCACAGACAGTACTCTGTTGTGATCAATAGTAAGGAATTAGGAGGCAGAACGCCTGGGTTCACACCTTGCCTTGGTTGCTTACTAGTCCTGTGACCTTGAACAAGTCAATTATCCTTTCAGTGCCTGGATTTCCTCAAGTCTAAAATGGGGTTAATAACAGTATATTTCATGGAATTGTTAAAGACTGAATGAATCAAAAGTTCTGCATATATTAAGCACTAGAGATATATGTGTATGTGCACATAGTAAGCACTATGATAAGTGTTTGCTATAATTACTCAAAGCAAAATTGTGGGTGTATGTGGAGACATGAAAGGGGATGGCTTGTTGAGGCAAATGGAGAGCAGTTTGGAGTGACTTGAACATTCGACCAGATGAAGAGTTTGAGGCACACAGCAAGACTTGAGGCTAGAGATGTAAGCAAGGGCCAGGTTGTAAACTGAAATGTTTTTTTTGGACTGGAACCCAGATTCTTTGTCCGCCGGAATCGAAGAATGAATCCACAGACAGAAAGTGGTATAGCAAAGGTGGATTATTGAAGAGGAATAAGTACAGACTCACACATGGGGAGGGGGAAAGAGTTCCACAGAAAAGACTCCCACGTGGGGAGGGGGAAAAGGGTCCCACTGAGTTCCTTTTCCCTATGGCTTATAAA